GACAGCCCCGGCCTCACCCGAGGCTCCAAATTAGTTTAGCTAACAAAATATGTGAACTTACGGTTCTAAACTTCTTCAAACATGCGCAAAAAGCGCTTTGAGACGACTTGCCGCATTCTCCCGACTTTGAGATAGAAATGGACTCTAGCGCCCGTGCTTACATGTTTATGGAAAAATGATCGGTTGAAGCATGAAAAGTTTTCATTCTTCTGGATTTCAGTAAACCAATCAATAAATCGATAGAAGGGCCCAGTGAATCACCGCGAAAAGTAGCCCTAAACCACCTTCGGGGTCGAAAATATATGTGTGCAAAGTTTCAGCTCAATCGGTTCAACGGCTGGCGTTTCTATAAAGCACTAACAACCTAACGAACATCCTCACAGACTTTGAGTTTTATATATATATATAGATAGATATATAGATAGATTATTATTTGTAAGAAATTCAACAAAACTGATGAATTCAACTTCGATGTTATCAGATTTTGTCATGGAAGCTCGAATACAAGCAGTAATTTGAAAATAGCTGTGATATATACAGAGGTGCTACGAATGTTCCATGTTCGACTTTCGATGAATCTTGGCATAACGATTAAGTTGCTTGAGTGATTCAGCCAACACCAAGACTTTTAACGTATTTATTCGGCTAACGTTTCGGCGTAGTCGCCTTCGTCAGAGCCTATAAAGTGAGGAACATTGAGAATTAACCTCTCAAACATCTTATCACATGCGGGAAGAGTCCCAAAAGTTGAAAAGACTCCCGTTAAGGCCTAGAACTATCAGCTCACCTTTTGCTATTAGATGAGGACGAACCACCGCTGGCTGGAATGCGCTGGCAATGAATGAGGCAAGTCTCTGGAGGCTACGCATAGATCAAAACCTGCATAACTCCAGTAATGGCGCGAGTTCGGTTGTTACGACGGTGCATTCCTCTTTTCTGTTCATTTTGGGATTTCTGGATAGTATCCAGCACGCCTCGAGGGTCTTTCGTGCGGACACCTCAGTCTTCGGTGACAGAATGCTAATCGAAATTTCGAATTCTGCGTCTTGGTGGCATAACCTGCGATGTGTGCCCAAGGGGGTTGACAACCTTGATCTTCGCAACCCGTCCAAGTGCTCCTTGATCCTGACGCATAGCGGCCTTCCCGTCTCTCCTACATATTCCTCCCCACATAGCTTACAAGTGATGAGGTAAACCGTACCAGAGCACATGCAATCGCCGCTACGATTTGTTGCGCAGATTATGCAATCACGAGTGCTACAAGCTTGATCATATGCTCTGTTGCGCACTAGAGTTGTTTGAGATTAGGGGGAGGAATCTCAACGACTCTGAGTGAGTCTTGCAGTCCCGATTTTTGCACGCAGGCCCTAATGACCTTACTCAACTCATCCGAAATAAAGGGGAGGCAGAATGTTACCTTGCTACCATCATCGCCAGGTGATCTGTTGATGTGGCTCGCTCGCGCCCTTCTGCATGGGTATCCGTTAGCCTGCGCTACCTGTAGTGCCTTACTAAGTGAAGCGGCTTTAAGGTCATCGTCCGATGACACCGTTCTAGCTGTGCGAAGCATATTCCCGATTACGGCGGCCCAACGGATAGGATCTCCTGGCTACTCAACCTCATCCTCACTCAAATGCTGCAATTTATCCCTGCGCACCTGCCCAATACGAGCGCCTTGTTAGAGCACTTAGGAAGCATGCGATTTGGTGTAAGCGAAGTCATAGAATCCTTTGATGTTACAGCTCTGTATACGAATGTGTCCAATCCAGCCGCCCTGCAGGCTGTGTTCGAATTGCTCAATGAGAGGATCGATAACATCAGCTTGTATGGATTTACTATCCAGCAGGTCATGACGCTATTAGAAGGTTGCCTAGACTGTTCGATATTTCGCTGGTCGGGGCAATACTTTAAGCAGATCAGGGGACTTGCTATGGGGCAGCGTTTGGCTCCTGCGATAGCTGTATGCTTCATGTCCAAAGTAAAAAAGCCAGTACTCAGCCGCAGTCCTACTCTCTACTACCGGTACATTGATGATTGCCTCATCGTTTGTCCGACTCAAACAGAAATGGACACGTGCTTTGACCTGCTCAACAGGCAATCAGCTGATATCCGATTCACCAGGGAAACACCTAAGGAGGGTTGGCTTCCATTCCTCAACATTCAGATATGCTTGAGGAAAGGAGAGTGTAGGACCAGGTGGTACAGGAAGCCAACCAGTAAGAACATTCTAGTACATTACTCCTCGGCGCACCCCATTCGTACCAAACGCAGCGTAATCGGGAATATGCTTCGCACAGCTAGGACGGTGTCATCGGACGATGACCTTAAAGCCGCTTCACTTAGTAAGGCACTACAGGTAGCGCAGGCTAACGGATACCCATGCAGAAGGGCGCGAGCGAGCCACATCAACAGATCACCTGGCGATGATGGTAGCAAGGTAACATTCTGCCTCCCCTTTATTTCGGATGAGTTGAGTAAGGTCATTAGGGCCTGCGTGCAAAAATCGGGACTGCAAGACTCACTCAGAGTCGTTGAGATTCCTCCCCCTAATCTCAAACAACTCTAGTGCGCAACAGAGCATATGATCAAGCTTGTAGCACTCGTGATTGCATAATCTGCGCAACAAATCGTAGCGGCGATTGCATGTGCTCTGGTACGGTTTACCTCATCACTTGTAAGCTATGTGGGGAGGAATATGTAGGAGAGACGGCAAGGCCACTATGCGTCAGGATCAAGGAGCACTTGGACGGGTTGCGAAGATCAAGGTTGTCAACCCCCTTGGGCACACATCGCAGGTTATGCCACCAAGACGCAGAATTCGAAATTTCGATTAGCATTCTGTCACCGAAGACTGAGGTGTCTGCACGAAAGACCCTCGAGGCGTGCTGGATACTATCCAGAAATCCCAAAATGAACAGAAAAGAGGAATGCACCGCCGTAACAACCGAACTCGCGCCATTACTGGAGTTATGCAGGTTTTGATCTATGCGTAGCCTCCAGAGACTTGCCTCATTCATTGCCAGCGCATTCCAGCCAGCGGTGGTTCGTCCTCATCTAATAGCAAAAGGTGAGCTGATAGTTCTAGGCCTTAACGGGAGTCTTTTCAACTTTTGGGACTCTTCCTGCATGTGATAAGATGTTTGAGAGGTTAATTCTCAATGTTCCTCACTTTATAGGCGCTGACGAAGGCGACTACGCCGAAACGTTAGCCGAATAAATACGTTAAAAATCTTGGTGCTGCGAATGTTTATAGCGTGTATTTAATTCAAAGATTTTGAACAAAGATTGATAAGATGCATTACTTCTTTCATTAAACTGGAAAATAAAAAGAGATACATGCAAAATCAAAATGTTTAACATATAATAAAGTCACTACTCACAAATATAATTTTTTAAATGCATACAGAAATACTAAAAAGTTTTTTAATTATATCCTTGAAAACATCGATGAACGTAGATCATCTTTAAGATCATTCCCATAGTCCTGCCTTGATTTCTGATCTAACCACTCACGCCCCCTACACCCCCCCCCCCCCACTATATATAGGTACATTTCGAGTGGAGACTACCACTACTGCCACCATTGCCCCCTACCGATGAGCCTCGGGAGTGATGAGCCCTCCATACTTCTCCTGTCTAGGGGCAAGAGGCGTACAGGACTTTCCTAACAAAATTCTCATAACTGGAAGAGACTGAGCTGAGTTGAGGTGATGCCTTTGTATGAGCGCTTGCTCATTTGGGCGCAAAGACCGCAGTCAAATCCGTCGTCACGATACAAACGACCTATACATGAATACGGAATCATCGAAAAATGTTGATATGTGATAGTTACACACCATCGACTGATGCATCTGCATGTGTCGGGTTTCAACCACTACAAACTCGCTGACGCTCAATCATAACATTAAATCTTCTAGTTGCTTTCTTTAGCAGCGAACAAGATTGGTACAGATTTTTATTGCACAGAATATACAAGGTGACGTTTCTGCAGGATCGCCTTCTTCACGAGTGAAAAGTCGAAGCATAAGTAAACTAGAGCCCAACTCTCTAGGAAAACGAGAGTACCAACCAAAACGCAAGATTAAGCCAGCGCTCACCTCAACCAGATTTGGTGGCTGCAGACAGTTTATGTCGAAAACTGCACTGCACTACTTTCATGGTTATCTAGTGACCCAGTTCTGACCTTGGTTTAATCTTGCATTGTGTTTGGCTGCTGTTTTCCTAGAGGGTTGAGCTCTTTTCTAATGCCGAGAAAGTGTTTGATTGAATAATTCACTTATGTCTTCGACTTTACAGACTCTGAAGAAGTCAAGCTGCCGAAACGTAGTCTGTATATTCTGTGCAATAAAAATATGTACCAATCTTGGTCACTGCTAAAGAAGCCAACTGGAGGTCAACTATGTCAAGATTCATGGATAGTCGAACATGGATTCTGACAATACCGTATCTTTGTCACAAAGGACTATTTGGTTCTAACGACTATATTGACTGGATGAGCCAAGTTGAAACTAGCACAGAATCTATCGTGGCATTCTCCTCAGAAGATACAGCGATCCAATGCGAGCACATCCTTTCAGTTACAGTGCATGTTAATGAGGAGCTCACAAGTCCGTAGCTCTTACGGGGTAGAGGAACGAACGCCTCAATTAGGCATCGCCTTCGCGGCTGCTGGTCCTTTCGTCCTACTGTTGTGCATCGTGTTGGGACCAGTGGTCCGCGGAGGCGGTGCCTAATTGAGGCGTTCGTTCCTCCACCCGCTCTTACGCGTACGCATCGCAAGGCTGATGCGCTCCGTTCGCGTGCGTACGGCTTGCGCCCTTGCCAAACCTCGATCGATGACGTCTGTGGGAGTTGACAAAATGCCCTGCCGTCCGCTCGCGCACGTGGCGCACGGGATTTGCGGCGCGTGCATGCAAATCGAGGACTGCACAAAAGGGAATAGGTTTTTGACATCGCCTGTAGCATTATAGCCACTTTATGTGAACTAGCCATCAACTTACAATTGAGGCGATAAAAAGTAATAGCATGGTAATTTACTGCTCTTGTGCGGTCATGTATGGGAAATGAACCACTCTAGCGCTGTTGAGTTTTTGTTGTTTTTCAGTGGCTGAATCATTTCTTTATGTGAACAACAGCAACATTCACCATTTACTTCGTTAACAACCGTTACTTATAGATACACAGGGGTTACGGAAGAAGAACATAATCAAAAAGCAGTGATTAGCAGCGACAAAACACTGTAGGAGATCTTGGCAGGTGTGTTGGTGTTACTGTAAATGTTTATGCTCTCTCTCCACGGATACGGCGGGCGAGTTGAATGTCCTTAGGCATGATGGTAACACGCTTGGCGTGGATTGCACAGAGGTTGGTGTCTTCGAAAAGACCGACGAGGTAAGCTTCGGAGGCTTCCTGAAACAAGAATACTGATTTGACTGATGAATGAACCTCTCATCTCGCGCATAGTTTGGTGGCCGTCTGGTCTATGCCCAAAGACATTTTTTTGCCCTTTAATTTTTCGAACTCCAAATGAGTAGAAGACATGGTGGAAGTTGATAGAGCTTTCTGTCATTCTCCACAGTTGTCTATAAATAAAACATAGATCTACCAGCATCAAAACCCCTGAACGTTCCAAGAAAATCAGCTTGAACTGCGCATTTGCAAAATTATGATAGAAAATTTGGGCCGCATTTCGCAGCAATTGCAAACCACATTCACATAACGTGACTATAAAAACCGTTCGTAAGCAGTTCTAAGCTGGTTTGCCTTCTTTATTCCCCTACTTTATTGCCACCTTTGTCGTATTTTTGGGCAAAAATATTTCATCTGATTCAAACCCAAGCTGCCGTTCACAAACATGACCCAACACTGTCCTATTTGAATCCCTCTGCGGATCGGGAAAACATATAAATGATTCACAACACAAACTCACACCCAATTTCTCAAAAGTGCTTCTGCTTCGCTGTTCCTACGAACAAAAAAGAGACGGATGCAGCGCATGTATCAAAATGTCATGTTTCATATCCACGTATCATAATGTCATGTTGCCCAAAAATCAAACACAATCAACATCCTACTGGAGTTCGTATCAAATGAGGGCATAAGGAACACGGTATTAGAGCACCCTTTTTCAATGAGGAAAGCGACTGGAGCTAAATCTGAAAAAGCGGCTATGTGTCTCACCCCCCAGTCAGAAGTCAAGCCGAAGATTCATGCATGGATGCAGCAAAGAACAATTATGCCAAACCTGCCTCTTTCATTTGCCTCCCCTTCAAGCAAGCTAGTAAGACGTTCTACTGTAAAGAAAACAAGATGCGAAATGCATTTTGATGAAAAAAAAAACCAACTTTAGCTCACTGCTGGATTAAAACATGTAGGGGTGACCTGCTGAGTTCACACTCATTAGACCAAAAAGATGCGACTGATTTTGCAGTACAACCACTTTTGCAACTAAAATTCACATGATTTCGGCTGTCGAGTTTAGCGTAGAGGGAGGATAGACCATGAGTTAGCGTATTTCTATACTGCCTTCTGTTTTGCTCAGTCTCTTTCATTCTTGAATTCTGGAGTTTACTTACAACGGCACTCATTTCCTTGTAGAGAGTACACTGTGACAACAGCATAACTTCCGCACTTTGGCTGTTTTCAAAAAAGGCTATCGCTCATGCTTCTTTTTTATTACTCACCTGAAGTGCTCCGATGGCAGCCGACTGGAAGCGGAGATCAGTCTTGAAGTCCTGAGCGATTTCACGGACAAGACGCTGAAAAAGTACAGATTTCGATGACTGCAACAAAGAGAACTGCGTTCCACCAACCTGGAAAGGAAGTTTACGAATGAGAAGCTCAGTGGACTTCTGGTAGCGACGGATTTCACGAAGGGCAACGGTTCCCGGACGATAGCGATGAGGCTTCTTCACACCTCCAGTTGATGGCGCCGATTTGCGGGCTGCCTTGGTGGCCAGCTGCTTACGAGGAGCTTTACCTCCAGTAGACTTGCGAGCGGTTTGCTTGGTACGAGCCATTGCGTTACTGAGTTCTGTAAATACAAAGTGTCAAAGTAACAAAAACACGAACACATGCGTATTCGATTACGTGATACTGGTAAACAGGCATGAAGTGAACACAATATCACATCAGAGAAGCCGCGATATTCGAATGTACGATTTTTGAAGCGGAGTTCACTTCACAAGGGTACACAAAATGTAATATGAGGCGCTGAGAAATCGAAACACGAAATTGGCGTTGCCCTTTGAAAATCAATTCCACCAACACCAGACCACGATAACAGAGTAGTAAGATTAAGCTTTTGACCTAGACTCCCCAATACGTCCATGTTCCAAAAATACCCAACCAGGCAAAGTTTCTGAGATCAAAACTGCATGACCATTTCTGATGCTGAACAGTTGCGAAGTCCCCCCCCCCCTCTCCCACGCACCGCTACTCTATTCTCCCCTAACCCCTATACCCTCCCCACCCCCGATGACCAATGATCACCTAATTTGCCAAAAAGAGATGCGGATACAAGCTGGATGCGCCAACTATGTCGAGGAGGCCACGGATGCACAGTACTGACAGCGAAAAGCGTCACCTGGACGTAGAGTCACGAGTTTGGCTGCGTGCCAATACGAAAACGACGCCTACATATTCGAAATCGCGCCAGGACGCTTTATTGATCGGCTTTGGTCGAGTGACGTCACCGAGCGATCGATATCCACAGATATCTCTACCCGTAGATATCTTTTGTGGATGGATCGTAAAAGAAAAGTGTCACCTGAGCTAAAACTTGAATGATTATTGATTAACGGAAGTCGCTGAAACGTGCAAAATCACATTTTGTCTTAGGCAGTATCGACAGGCGAACGCACAAGTCGGAGAAAGTGGGATTCTGTATGGATTTTTGATGATTCAATCCTTGTTGGTAAAGGGAGTGATATGTGATGAAATATCTACTGGAAAGGCAGCTAAAACTAAGCTGTGAAGAATCCCAAACTCCGATAAACACCAGAATCGATAGGACGGACTTGCGCTAACATTTCAGCTATATCACAGCGGCAAACACCTAAAATTGGTGAAATTTCGCCAGAAGTTGGTGAGAGCGGAGAGGACAACAGAAAGCAACCTATAGCTGTGAAAGAACAAGTAAAACTGCCTTCAAAAGTAGGTCATGATGTTCTTCTGCTACAGCTGGCGCCCCGCCCCGCAAAAACAAAAAGGGATTAGTGCCTACTCGTCCAACGTCTGTCGCGCGCTCGCTCTACGCTCCTGCCCCCTCCATTTTCCCAACGCTTTCTCCTTTATCCCACCCCTCTGTGCTCTCCCACGCGATCGCAGACAGGGAACTTCGCGACAGCGGCGCCGTGCTAGGGCATTTTTGTCATCATGAATGGATGCTTCCCACCAAAATCTTCTAAAACTCTTCCAGAATCTCGATTGTAGGTACATGTTTTCGGAAGTCATGCTGACCACGTTCAGTTCTAGGCTAGAGCATGATCACATCGTGTTTCTTCTCTTCCATCATCTCGAAACTCGATCGTTTTAAACTCCATCAAAACACGTAGCTTTTTTGTGGTAAGAACTTGAGAAAGATATTCTTCGTTTTACAAACAATATAGCTAAAGTGGCATTTACATTTCTACTTTCTTTCGGTATTGTAATGTGAAAAAGCGATTTGGACTAGTGGAATGGCAAGATCAATGCGCTCTGATCCCGCACATCCTTGGGATAGTTCACATATAGTAGAGTACTCACTCCATCGACAGATCCCTCTTCAGCTCCCTTCGTTTGGAACTAGTTTGTAAAAATACTGCTGATCTTTTTTTGAAATCCTACTCCCATTCCAAATAAGTTCACCATCATTAGGCATTGATTTTTGTTGAGGTTTCATTTTCTTACAGCCTTGCTTTTGAGCACAAGATGAACAAAGGCTTCATCCTCAAGAAATTTCTTCGATACTGCTGATTCTTCATTTTTTGTTCCGAAGCTCTTCACACATCAGAAACTTTACCAGCTTTCTACTTTATTTGTCCATATCGAAATAATGCGAACAGTGAGAAATTGGAAGCAATTTTCTTTGCTGGCCTTTAATGGGCTTTCTCGTTGGATCATGTCGTATACACAGATGTTTTTACAAGCAAATGATCTGATGGATCACTTAGTCAACAAGTGTTACTTTTTAAGCATATGGCTCCACCAGCAGGAAGCGCGGTCACATCAGTACCGCTGCCACCACAGGGTACTGCCGATGAACAGTCGTTGAGAACCTACTTCAAAACGAAGATTGATGAAGCACAGGTTTGCTAAAAGAAATCTTCCAAGTTTCATCAATCTTGCATTCTTATATGTGGCTATTTTCAGCAAAGAGTACTCGAGAAGAATCAGAACGTTCTTCGTTTACAGGCACAACGTAATGAACTTAATTCTAAGGCGAGGTTCCTGGTTCAACTATCTCTATGAAGCGAGGGGGTTTCGAGGCTCGAGCAGATTCTTTGTGCCCTCTTGAAGCACAATGTATTTCTGTTATTTGAGAGACATTTAGCAAGCTGAAAAGGGAAGTTAAACGAGATAGAAAGCAAAGCCTGTGCTTATAACACTTCCTCACTTCAGTATCATACCAAAACTTGTATGTACTAAAACACATCAAAAAGGCCATGAGAGAGTCAGACACAGTGAGCGATTAAGGTTTTCGCGGATCTCGCATACTTTTGAGAAGATGTCAAACCTTTTTATCGTTTCGTACTCATGCTCTGTGTTATCTCAAACTAATATAAGATGTAAAAAGATCATGCATCCGGTGTCTTTTCATACATTAAGTACCGAAGCTGGAAATGTGGCGTCATCTTTATACGTTTTGGTTTTCGAAAAGCCTCGAAAAGCGTCTATTGGGCAAAACATTTTTTTGTATATAAAAACTGCTCTGATCGAAGGTTAATGTCTATGACTATTCAGGTTCGTATGCTCAAGGAAGAGCTCCAGCAGCTTCATGAACAAGGCAGTTATGTTGGTGAAGTAAGCAAAGCTATGGATAAAAAGAAAGTGCTTGTAAAGGTATGCCGCATTTTCAACTAAATCGCTTGTCCCCGATGTTGTTTTCTTGAGGTCCATCCGGAGGGAAAGTATGTGGTGGATGTTGATAAGGGTATCGATGTTGCAACGATTAATGCGGGTTGTCGTGTAGCACTGCGAGCTGATAGTTATGCTCTACACAAAATTCTACCAAACAAGGTTAGCTATAGGTTTATGCCTATATCTACGTTGCCTAAGCATGCAGGAAATTCTAGCACTTTAACCTTTTTTTAGGTTGACCCTCTTGTATCACTTATGATGGTTGAAAAGGTGCCAGATTCAACGTACGAAATGATTGGAGGTTTAGACAAACAGATTAAGGAAATCAAGGAGGTACGCGGGTCATAAGATGTTAAACAGTGAATTATTTTGATCAGCTACGATATTTTAGGTCATTGAGCTACCCGTAAAACACCCGGAGCTGTTTGAAGCTCTCGGTATTGCGCAACCTAAAGGAGTGCTTTTGTATGGACCACCGGGAACTGGGAAGACCTTGTTGGCCAGAGCCGTGGCACATCATACGGAGTGCACATTTATCCGTGTATCTGGTTCAGAACTCGTGCAGAAATTCATTGGAGAAGGAGCTAGAATGGTAGGCTTGAAACTTGATATCATTACTCATGTGCTGGGATAGAGTAATGAAATTTCTGCAATTGTTTAAATCCCTTCCCGAGACTAGTGGCTCACATTTTTAACCAGTGAGCATCATTTCAAGGTTCGCGAACTGTTCGTCATGGCTAGAGAACATGCTCCTTCCATCATTTTCATGGACGAAATCGATTCCATCGGATCTAGTCGTGTTGAAGGATCAAGGTGATAGGGATTGATTTTATTATCGTGGATCATATGACCAAAACATGCATTTGCTCATGCAATTTATGCTATTGCATTTAGCATGATAACTTGCTGAAAGCTGTTCATCGAAGGGCCATAGGACCTCGAAGCAATGTTACAATTTAGAGCAAAATGCATTGCTTTTCAGCGGTGGTGATTCGGAAGTGCAGCGAACCATGCTTGAGTTATTAAACCAGTTAGATGGATTTGAGGCAACAAAGAACATCAAGGTAGCTTTTTACTTTCGTTCTTTTCTTTTTCGATCGAAAGTAGCCCAAAATTTTTCTTGACAGGTCATCATGGCTACCAACAGAATTGACATTCTTGACCCTGCTTTATTACGACCAGGCAGAATCGATAGAAAGGTAGACTTTCATGCGTTGAACGCCATTCTTGCATATTAGACTAATGAACGTAGAACTTTCTTTCAGATCGAGTTTCCTGCTCCTGATGAGAAGGCACGCGCTGATATCCTCAAAATCCACTCACGTAAGATGAACTTGATGCGCGGGATTAACATGAGAAAAATCGCCGAAGCAATTCCTGGTGCAAGTGGAGCGGAAGTGAAGGTGCGACCATTCCATCTTGAGATAATAAGCTAAAACAGTCATTCAAATCACATTGTTTAGGCAGTTTGCACAGAAGCGGGTATGTTTGCTCTTCGCGAAAGGCGTATTCATGTTACGCAAGAAGATTTTGAAATGGCAGTGGGAAAGGTGAGCTTGGCAATTCTCAATTAGAATTTTGGGTCACGCCTATACTCGAAAGATTTTTGATGGAAAAGAATTAGAGAACATAGAAGGTAGAAAAAGTAGAAGATTCAGTGATGAGCACTTTTCATCATCGCATCTTCTAGCCCGTGCACTTCTGAGGCCCTGGCCAGACTTCGCTCAAAAGCGCTTAAACTCCTCCGGTGCCGAAGTCTGGTTAGGGCCTCATGACTTCATCTTTTTGAAAGCCGCGCATTTTGGCTGTATGCTTGTAAAGGCAGCGTTAAAGCAAAATATGCCCCTTCCTCCAATTACTACCTAGTCTACAGTAAGGCCGTAGGAGTAGGACATGCGCGTTAAAGGCAGTGTCCGGGCAAAAACTTGATTTTGAGATTTTGTGCTTACCCGGGCCTATTCGCTATGCTGAATCCGAAAATCCACATTGGATAGCGCGAAAACGACGAAAAAGGGCTTTAATACTGAAGGGAAATCAGCAAGTGGGCGGGGTCTTCCCCACGGTGAATTCACGCTCCCGGCTTCGGGGCGATCTTTTTGATCCCGGTTTCAAGTCATTCGTTTGCACTTGATCGGTAGTGATGTCAAGGCGGCTAACGGATTCGAGAGAATTGCTCTGGAGGCTGGAAGCGTGAATTCACAGTTGGGAAGACCCCGCCCACTTACTAATTTCCCTCCAGTGTTGGAGCCCTTTTTCGTCGTTTTCGCGCTCTCCAATGTGGATTTTCGGATTCATCATAGCGAGTAGGCCCGGGTAAGCACAAAATCTCAGAATCGAGTTTTTCCCCGGACACTATCTTTAATCCGGTCTACTAATTTGACCTCTGAATGGAAAAAGTGGACCGAACTTGCAAAGTGCTATCAAGCACGCTCGCCATATCATGCTCCACCCACTCAGTACTGATAGTCGTCTGTCCTTTACGATAGCTCCCACAAATCGGGTTTTTCCCGACTTTTGCATGTTTTGCATAGATGTAGCCAGGGGCACGGAATGCTTCAGAATACGGAATCATGGAAGATGAAGATTTGGGTGGATGCTGCTTTCAAGAGGCGGTTTCAACTTTTTGGACCACTGAACCACTTCGGGTAATGCGCAGATTGTGCTTGCACAGCATCTACCATAGTTTGAGAGATTCCTGTATTGACTGGATTTTAATAACCACTATAAACCATTTCATCGCATATGAAATGGTTTACAGTGGTTATTGGCGTCGTCGCATAAGAAAACCCTCTAGCGTGATATTTGGTGGTAACGTTTCTGTTCCCCATATGGTGTCATCGGGTCAGTCACTATACAGTGTAGTGCGTCATACTTGTTAAGTAACCAACAATGGGAATTTGCTTTCCAGCCCTAACATGGTGTTATTTTCAGTTCTTTGTAACGAAAAAGGCATTTATTAATGCGTTTTGCAGAATCTGGTTTACTCATTTGAATTCCGTATTGATTTCCTCACCGCATTTCCTCGTGACTGAATTTTTGATATCTTCCACAGTTTGGAGGAGTAGTTCAACATATCCTGTTCTAGATTGGACAGAGGAAAGATTGGTCTTCTGTTGTTTATCCCTCGACGCAGCATATCCAGCTGCCGTAAATGAGATTAATGGTTACACAGTAGTTGCTTGCGTCAAGAGGCAATGAAGTGTAGGCTTTGCATAAAAATTTGCATCAGAGTGGCTCTCCATGAAGGTGCGATTAATCAAGAATTGAGCAAAAATGAGGCACTTTCGCAGCAACTAGCTGGTTTCTCTTTTTGCGATAGCTCGACGTAATTGGTGTCATATGACAGGAGGATTTTTTTAACGCTTCTGAAAGTCATTTGCAAATGAACGAATCATGTTGATATAGCTGATCAAATTTCTTTGCTTGATGTAATTTAATTCTTGGATGTTCCAAGTAATTTGGTCTTCTACCTACGCCAAATATTTCGCTTAGTATGGGTAACATGACTAGGTTAACACCTCCTGATTTTTATTGAAGAGTTCACATTTATGTTGAATAATATGGTGTTTTAGGTGATGCAAAAAGATTCCGAAAAGAACATGTCGATAAAGAAGTTGTGGAAGTAGTCTGGAAGTTGTTCTGGAACATTATTGCGTGTATTAATTCCTTATCTTATGGAACGTGTGGTCTCTCCATGTGCAGAATAAATTTGAATTTCTTACACGATTATGCTTTGGTTTTTGCAAGTTGAGTGCTTCCACTGGAAGTTGTCTTTGCAGATAAATATCAACCATTTTGAGGAGCAGCGTATGCTGATTCCACTGTAATAAATGTCAAGCGCCTCTGGGTTATGAGGTTTTGCGCTTGAAATAAACGCAGAATCTGGGCAAATCAATCGTTTTGGTCCTCCAACGCTCAAAATACAGGTGTTGAAATTACGAAGTGCTCTGATGTCCGGCACTGAACCATTTGAGTAGACGATTTTGTTCCAGTTGCGCATTCAGCTTTTAACCCGAAAACCCCCATAATTCGGCGGGCGTTTGGGGCGCTCGACAGATACCGAAGATTTGGATTCAGCCTTTAAGGCTCTTAAAAATGGTATTAGATCTTGTTCGAGAAGACCACTTCGAGAACACTTTCCTTATTAGTTTCGACACATCTCAAGGAGAAGATTAAAATGCAACTAGGGCGGCAAATGCCCACTTCAGCGGAGAAGTGCTCTGCGTCCCTTTGTTTTTCCTTGTTATTCCGCTTCCCCACGGGAGATGTGAGTGAGTGTGAGACGGGGGACCCCGCCTCAAGTCACTACACATCCACGAGCGAATCGATTGCCGCCTGCACACATACGCGCACATACACATACACAGAGCGCCACACTCATTCATTCACACACACTCGCCATCGTCAGCTGATCCTTCTGTGCTATTAACTGCCCTCATCAGTCTGTTCGTGAAGTGTCCATGAAGCAGTAGAGAAGACGAGTGTGGTGCGGCACCCAGATCGAGATTCTCACATTTTGATCGATCGATAGCGGTGAAATCTACGTGCGTGGAACGATCAGTTGTAGTGTGGCTGCGCAGAGTCGTCTCTCTACCTCCTCCATCGCCCGACGATCCCTCGCTCTCGTTGACCTCGTCGCGCGTGTACGGAACGAACTCTTTACTGCTGCTGCTGTTTCGGCTGTCCGCTGGTTGCTGCGCAGTTCAATTGCGCTGTCACAACTAATTGATCACATCTGCTGTTGTGATATTGATTAGGATTTTCAAGAAAGTAAGCTTGTGACTATTGGAAATATGTGAAAATGTACGAAATTGGCAGCTAGCGTGGGCTATTTGCGTTGCATGGATACGCGGCCTCGTTTCCTCCCCGTCACTCAAGCGCTTTACTGAATCTGGCTTAGAGAGATCCTCATCGATTTGCACTGACTACGGCTCTCTTGGTGTTTATACTCACATCGAGTCTGGATCTTAAATCGTTTCATAAGCTGAAGTTTCAGCGTTCATAGTTTGAAAGCCTCTTTTACCATTGTGTGCAATTGCACATTTTCTGATGAGGTTAGATTTCTTGCTATTTCTCCTTGTGTGTTTCCCTTTTCTTTGTTGCTTAAGCATAAGCTTGGAGACGTCATCCATTCTGAGACTATAAGACTAGATAAAGCTTCGCAAACATTCTCTTAACAAGTTTGGACTTGTCTTTTCCTGGGTTCAAGTGATCAACAAACCTAAGTAAGATAGATCACAAGTACAAACTTGTTAGCTGACGAGGAAGCTTACTCAGACAGTGTACAAAGCTTTTTCGAGTCTCCTAGTCCCATAAAAAATGATAATTTATTCATATCATGCACTTGCACTTCCTTATATTTTTTCTATGGCGTAAATTCTGTCGAGATCGGGGTTTTCACCGTTTTTCATAAAAATTGTGGGGAGGAACAAGATTTTCATTCCAAAAACTGATCAGCCACATAGAGAGTCTGCCGTAGCTCGACCAGCGAGACCACAGCTTCCATGCTGGGTCTTCCCACTTGAGAAATGTGCGTCAGCATCTTGAAAAATGTGCAATTTCAGCCCTTAGCAAAGAAACCTATTGTACAGTACCCTCTATGTAAAAAAAAAACGAAGTGACAGGTACAGCGTCTCAGTTACAAGGGAATCACTGAAACAATTTTTTCACTCTCTGTCCTTGACAAGTGTACGTCATGACATTTCCAAAGGAACAACTCGATGTTCAACCACTAGACGACTTTTCTATCTTTATATGAGCTTTACAATTAAAGTGATATAAGTACTTGCTTCTTATGTTTCCACTGTAACTGATTTGCTCTTTTGAAGTGTGCACTTCAAAAGTCAGGTGTCCATACATCAAGTGAAGTATGCTGTATGTTTAAAAAAGAAATGAAGGAAAAGGTAGTTTTGTATGTTGTGTAAAGTGTCTACAAGCAATTGCGATTCTTCTTTTCTCGTCTTGAGATTTTCTTCTTGGACAATGATTTTTGCGACGGAGTTTGATTTTTGTGTGTTTAAATTCGAACCCCAATCGTATCTCCTGAGAATATGTAGTAAAGTGCAGGAGTCCAGACCATTAATACCAAACGTATGCGTAAGAGCAGTGAATGCTTTAATGTCAAAGAAGGAAACATTTACATTCATTCTCGTTACGAATAGGAGGCGGAAGTTCGACTACCTTTTTCCCTTTCTCATCTTGATTCATTCTTAATTCAAAAGCATCGATGCACTTTAGTATCACAAAAGAAGCTCGGAAATATCGGGTCGGCTGAAAAAAAATCGAAAGCTGAAATTTCGATTAACGGACATATGAGAGTAGGGGTATATAACCTTCTCATAAAAAACCTTAGCTGAATAACGGCTCCTGAATTTTCTAAATAGCTTTGAATTACCATATCAAGACGAAGTATCCATTAGCCAACGCCCAGTACTTCTATGTTTATTATCTTTCCTTTTTCTCCCCTTTTGCCAGCTGCAATTCGTGCTCCTTTTTGATTTTCTTCACTAACAATAAGTTTTGGTCAAGATCTATCTCATTCCACTGGCGAAGACGAGATTTTGCACATTTTGCTATTCTATTTCCGATGGTATTTGTCATCATTGGCGTTTTATTTTGACTGATACTACTGGTGTTAGTAAAAAATTTGAAGCTTGCGATATTTGCTGAAAATTTTCGAACACGTATACAAAAATCTCCTCAAGAGTACAATCGACCATCTTGTCCTCTACGTCATCCATGATCTGAACCTCGTTGGCCTCTAATTCAGCATTATTAGAAGAGAATGTAACTTACTAGAGTGCGCCGACCTTATTTCGTTGAAAACTAGATCGCATAATACTTACGATAGGCCTTGTTGCTAGATAGAAGTCATAATCTTCTATTTCTCGCCTATACTGACATCATTAAGTATCGTTCCATATTTGTTGTTGTGTCGAAACAATAATCTGAGCACAGTTTTGTAGCTTTTTCTGCTCAAAATGATATCATTCTTTATGGGCGTGAGGCAGTGATAAAGCTTTTTTCCCATATTTGGGTGGGGTTCTATCTGCTTACATGTTTCCTTTCTCGTCGCATCTGAGGAAATGCACTTTTATAATACCCATATAAATTTACTGCTCTTTTCGCAATTATTCTTGCGAACAATATAATAGCAGCGAAAGATCGTAAAGAATTATTTTCCGCCGCGTTGAAGTACCTTGCATTGCAGTCTTCTTTTGGGGGTTCCTCAATGTGAGCTTTTCTCTTTTGTGCAGCTTCATTGCTAATTTCCAAATGTACTTTTGGATTAGAATCCTTCCACTTCCCTTTTTCGTCTAAACTCGCTACAATCGTTTTTTGAACCTTGGTAATTCGTGCATGATCGGGGGCTAAATGTGGTCTAAGCTGGCTGTAGATCCTGATTTGCTTATGGACGACGGATCTCTCACTTTTTCGCCTTCAAAAAGCTGTTTGTGCAAGTGATTACCAATTTCGGCCGGTTCGACGATCTGCACTGTTTTGTTTCCATTCTCATTATCGTCTCATGAAATGCGGTGTGTCGCTTTTGATGTTCACACACTGTAATTTTTGGTAAAAAGTTGCCAAGATCTTTAACGAAATAAAAAGAAACTTCTCATGGAATACAAGTTCTTCAACAATTCCCTGTTTTTTTTTCTGAGAAATCTACTCTAGTTTTTTGAAGGAATTTTCCTACCAAATTGCTTGGTCACAAGAGAAAAATCGTTCCCGAAAGCAGACTTTGTCTTCGTACTTCTTCAACTTTAAGTCAATAAAGTGTGACAGTTATCTGGAATTTTATCAAGTTTCACTTTGCGTTCTTCAACGCATATTAATGGCCTTTCCATTTGTTTTTTTTGGGGGGGGGGGGGGGAGAGATGCACAACTGAACGTCTTCTGAAAATTTTTCTTTGAAATTCCTGCCTATTTTTTAGCAAGGTTATGACCAAATTTCTGAAAATAGGTAGTGTTAATGCGGCCAACGACTACTAAAAAATCTTAAAGGTTAATCTGTAGTTAAACTCAAAATATTACTCTAATCTCTTACTATTAGAGACTAATCGCTTGCACTTTGCTCATGTAGACCACTTCCAAAAATTTCGCGAACCATTCCCCCCCCCCTCTTTTTCCGCTCTTCCAAACGTCTCCTCTTTCCGCCACTGGCATGCATTTCATATATCTCTTTTATATATGAAGCTGTGCAAACATAGAATACCAGTTTGCTTTTAGCAGATGTTGTAAGCGAGTTTACTTTGCATATTGTTCTTGCTCATAAATGTTTTGCTCCAAAGGTTTAGAATATAAAAGAGCTCTGATATGGGAGTTTGCTCTGTTGTCATGGGTCCTCTTCATTTTTTAAAAGTTTATAACAGTTTTAATCATTTTTGTTTGCGACAATTTCGAAGTAATGCCATTGGATAAAAATCTGATATTACAAAAAAATGTCATTTTACTCTATAATTATAGAGTGCACTATCACGTAGTACATTTTTCTCACATGAAACGCACATCTACCCGTGAAATATTTTTGCTAATGAAACTACGTAAAAGTGCTTCCGTTAGTGCATTTGAGGTGATAGGCACACAACACTTCAACAGAAAATAATTGACTAGTCACGCGAAAACATATGGAATGTGTATTTACCTTGTCATTTTATAGGCTGCCATCGAGTGTTATTGGTGGTCTGGAACGAGAATTGTGCCCTTTCTTCACTTTTCCATGAAGTTTTGTTACCGCTAATGAGGTGTCTAGTTTCATCCTAGACGGTTGTCTCTCCGCTTCTAACAAGAAAATTGGATTTGGAAAAAATTACGTTGTCAAATAACAACGTTATTTGCGTGTGTGTAGTTCACAAGTTCAAAATGAGTGTTATGTTCAAAGATGAATGTAACTTTATCTCGACATTTTGAGTACTGCGACACTTGTTGATCGTAGCCCCCTAGGTTGATAACGAACTCATGGTTGATTGACCGATTGATAAAGCACCTTCGTGTTGCTAATCAATCATCGCATGTTCCATCATTGCTTTTACCACTAAGTCGCCGATCTAATTTGATCAATCAATTAGATCTGCAGCTCCAAAACTTTCACCTTCTTCTTCGCAAGGTTGAGTTGGATCCAAATTTTGGCGAATTTTCATTGAGGTTGCCTTATTTTTCTGTTTTTCTTTGCTTGACATTTTGAGTCAATAAAAGAATCAAAAATCAATTTCTCAAGAGTCGCACTTGTAAAGCCTGCCATAAGTTTTTGCAGGTTTTGTAGAACGAGAACTCAACCAACCATCTGTAATGCATGCGGCGGTATGATCTATCTCAAAAACTTATTCATGCTGACGCATAGACAGTAAAAAGACTTTCACAGCAAGCATTTTTAGGATCAACGGGCTTTAGCCAATGCTTAGCAACATTTTGTTCAAAAAATTAATACACTCATTAATACCATGGCCTCATTCTGCAAATTCCGTTGAGTACACCAATTTTTCTAGTTTTTTATTTGTTTTTTTCGAACTAGCAGAGTATAAAATATGTTCATGTCTGGATAAATAGTGTGCGTTTTTACTGGATATGCCAAAAATACCCGCTTTGCCGAAAACATTCCCTTTCATGGCATTGGAGTTTTTATTCAGAAGAATTTATTTAAACATTATTTTAGACAACGCATCATTATTCGTACTATGATCAGACAACCGCATGTTTCTATCGTTCGAATTTTCTTCTTCGATTTGAGACGGATGTATGGAAATTTGTTCATTACCTGAATATAGTATTTGTTTTCCAAAGTTTGATATCAGAAACTGACTAATTCATCCAAAGTTCCATTTTTTTAGTAGGAACTTGACTCACAGTAAAAAAAATTTGTTGACCATTTTGAACAACCTTTTGAACATTGTTTTTGCTTATCGTTACCAGCTAGTACCGCTCACATCGTTTGTTTTTCTCATCTAAATTTTTGGTCTAAGGATGTAAGAAATGTTTTTTTTATCTGAAATTGTACCTATTTTTCATGCTAGTGGGTTACGAAAAAAAATCCGACCGGTTTGCCTAGGAGCTCCCAGTTTTACGACTCAGTGTTGGTTTAAAAAAATCATTTTGCAGTTTTTCTTGGCAGTACGGCCTTTATTCTCTCATCAAAGGATCCCATTGCTTATATTTGTTATTTGATTTTTTTGTTTATAGACTATGAAAAAACGCTCGTTACCTAAATATGTACTACCTGTTCTGAAATAAGTAGCTGAATGCTGTGATTATCCGACTAGTTCGCCCGTATAGTTCTGATTTTGCTGTGGGTTAGCATCTCCTAGAATTTTTTTTGCAAAGCAAGCCGCATTTTTATTCTTTATTTTTATTCATCAACATCGACTAACACCGCCACATTCTCCCTTTTAGTTGCTAGCACCTTTTTTTTCGTTTAAGAGGGTTATGAAAGTGGTTTATCACCTGGAAGGAGTTCTGTTTTTCAGTCGCTAACGTATCACGAAATATATCTACTAATTAACCAAAAAAATCCAGTTTTTGCGGCAAATGTTGTTAGTTTGAAGCAGAAAAAATTACAGTAACATTTTTTGGGTGGCCATCATTATTCCTACATATTTTTTGAAAGGGCAAGTAAAAAATATCTTTTTTTGGAGATCATCATTCTTCGTACTCATTTCTCGCCTAGTAGGCTAAAGTAAAAAATCTATTTTGACATTTTTTTTCTGACTCTCATTCCTACTCATCTCTCATCCACTAGGGTAGAAGCAATGTAATCCGTCGAATGACTAATTCAGTTTACGAATCTCGACGTCACACACAGTGCCCTCATTGCCACTTCCTAGCAACTGGCATCTTCATCCCTGCCCCTCGTTCCTCCTCCGTTCCCCCTCACAAATTCCCCGGGCACGATCGATACCCGCGCTAGCTGCTAATTAGAGCAATTATCCTTGTCACTCTCGAATCTCGCGTCTCTCTCAAGCCGCTGAACAAATGTGATTTCAGCTGCAACCTACTCCGCGACGCCGATGAGCAATAAAGGATCAAAAGATTCATCGCCGTCGTCTGAAAATGTAAGTAAAGGCTGTTTTCCTGTTTTCACTTCTATATTGTGTGTTCGCGTATGTTGTCGTTGTTGCGAGTGGGGGCGCGGGAAGAGGTCATGTAGTGAGTAAACATGCGTAGCCGAGAGTTGCGATAAACAACCGTGTCGTGTTATCATCTGTTCTTGGGAAACTCTTGTCTTGTCTGCTGTGCATATGATTAGTGTTGGAGCGCGAAAGCGGGATTAATAAATCATGTAGGGTGCAGTTGTTGTCAGGACCCGGCATAAGGTGGTCAATCGGAAGTGTAGAAACAAAATCTCTTAGACTTCTCAAGAATGTACTCCTCCGTCCCCCTTCCCCATGTGTGAGAGAGGCTCCTGGATTTATTCTTTTGAAAAGTGACCAGCTCGGAAATAAACAGAACCTAACAAAGCAAATCATGTGGAATTTTTGTGATGGTCCCCTTTGGATTTGACTTTAAATGGCCACTCGATTTCAGCGAAACTACTGAAGTCAGGCTTTTTAACGGCGACTTCAAATGGTAATTGAAAGAACAGAAAACGACAAAAAATATAAGATATGTCTCACAAAACGAGTTCGAAATTTCTCGGGATAGTGTCGAGAACTACAGTCGTCTCAGTCAGAAGTCACTTTGTCTTACTGCACCGTTTTGATTCTCGCTGAGCAGGACGATGATGTTAATATAATGATGGAAAATCAGCAAATGATACGATTGAAATGATAGCGATCTCGAGAAATATAAAAAAGGGGTTGTATTTCTAGGCCATAGGCTCAAGGTTAAACTAAAAAAGTAGAATGCGAATACGCAAAGGTGAATGCTATATTGGAATGACTGTATGAAATTGTCCTGCTATTACAAGTTAGGTTTGGGTTATGGACAAAAAATTCCAAACTCTATGAACAAAGTAAAAATTCCGATTTTGCTTGGCCGAAGCTATCACAGGGTCTTCTGCGTGGAAGCCGGTTAAAGTAATGGCACCTGCTTTTCATTTCAAATTTTTTCAAAGTTTCTTGCAATTATTCTTTCCTTTTGGTCTCCTTTGCAATTGCAATTTGATGAGCTGTTTGAACAAGTTGGTTGTTTATCAACTCGTCCCGAATTGTGCTTACAAATCGCGTAGTGGCGAGCTAATGCTGAAGTGCGAAATGGTACCGGCTGCTACGCTTCAAATTGTTCTGCTATATTTACCAAATAATGCTTTTGATTTAAGTCTACAGAACGGCTTTCTGTTTTCGCGAAGGTACCGAAAGCACCATTTTTGCCGGCTCTGGGAGAGCTGCAAGAATCTTTTGTTTCGAAAGGTCTCCAGCCTCGATAAGATGAAAATAGTCATTGAGCTTGTGTACTTAGATGACGAGCGAGGATGTTTGCAGTTTTCACAAAAACACATCATTTGAGTACACAATAAATATGATATAGGAGACAGTTGCAAGTGGTTGTCAAACTTCTTTTTTCGCAAGTTTCGGCGATATACAGAGCAGAATAGAAGTTACAAACCTGCGGATGTGTTCTTAAAAAAAACTTCCATGATAATCATCTATCGAATGGGGGTGGGTGAATGATCATCGCATCGGTACGATGATTCATGAGAGAGCTTGCAAGAAGTATTCATTGTTGTCAACCTTTGATCGGTCCTTTTTTGGCGGAGAACCTTGCCAAACCTCCATACTTTCTTTGTTCTTCTCCACTTCGTTCGGTGCTTTGAAGCCAGCTCTACGATTTAACGTTGGATGCGAAAGCTTTTGTTACAAAAAAGTTGTTAAAGATCAAACTTTTGATACATCAGCACCGTTGATACATCAACGGTGCTTTCGGTACCTTCGCGAAAACGTTCGTCTCCCCCTTCCTCTCTTACACGGGATCACGTTTTGTACCAAAATTTCTCCGTGACGCTTTTTCAGTCAAGATTTAGCTGGAATCTGAATCTCTTAAAATCCGCTTTAAGGATGTATCACGCAATGACTAGAAGAATAAATAGTGTGGGTGATATCCGTAGTACCAACCATCGCTCATTGCTGACGTAGGTGTTTGTGGGCAATCACAGCGTCTGCGCGATAAAATCTACTCGACATCGGGACTATTATTCTCTCACTCACAAAGACGCCATAGAACAGATGTTAGTGTAGCGATGCGTGAAATGATGTCTATAAATTCATTGTCTTTGGAACGTCTAAGGCGATGATTATCAGTCTGGCCTAGGAGTCACTGTTACGTAAAAGTGTTCTGCATCAGTATCGTGTGGTATTTGACAGTTGCGCGCGAAAGTGTGGTTAGTTCAAAGAGGTACAGGTATTGATTATTTTGAATATATGCTAAATATGGGAGCTTCCAAAATGATGTATCGAACGTTTGACCTTTAACAACTTTTTTTGTAATAAAAGCTTTCGCATCCAACGTTATGTCTAGAGCTGGCTTCAACGTAAATTTACAGTATAGAGCGAACCACCGCTTGCTCTTCATCAATGTGAAAAGACGGTAGAAATTAATTTTTATTTCAGTCATTGAGGACCTTATTTCGGTTGAAGAAGCATTAAACAGTCATAAAACTCTTATAATCGGAGGCGCTGACACCAAATGGTAACTCCGCGCTTTAATACTTCGTTCATAAATTATGTTAAGTAAACCGCTCTAGCTGTTTTTACAATGCTAAGTACATTTTAAAAAGGCTTACAAACTTGCAAAAAGCTGATTATCGAAATCAGCGCGCGTGAATACCCTGATACACAACTTTTCAGATTTTTTGAAACTTTGTTTGAAATATTGCTAATCGACAGTGACGCTGTAAACTGAAAGTTCTCACAATCCTCAGTATTGAAAAGCGAGCGATATTTTGCTTTATATAGAATCTAAGTCAATGTCAGCTCTACAACATATTGTTTGAAAGCGGCGAAAACTGTTTATGAGAGTTGCTAGAAATCAAATGCCCGATACATCATTCTGGGACGCCCTCTAGCGCCCCTGCAGTTCCGGCAGCCACTTGCGCGGAAAAATGGCTGGGCAAATTTTTTCAGATTTGACTCGTGTCGAATTTTCATCGCAGTCTTTAAACTCACGAAACGATTGACACGCTTCACTTAAAACTGAGGAAATGCGCATACAGCCTTTCAAAGATTGGATTTCGACTCATGAGCACGAGTCATGTTGTATGCGTTGAGTTTTTAAAAGTTTCAAAAACCTCAAACTAGCTTCTCGATAGTTTTTTGCTTGCTTATGCTAAACAAACAAACGCACCTTCGCTGCAATTTTTTGTGACCCAGATTTTGCTGTAATTTTGATGAAGAAGTTGTCATTTATTCGCATCAAATAGCCAATAATTGTTGGCTCACAGAAAACATTCAGCGTTTTTATATGATCTATAAAGAGCACTGCATTTGCTCTGTGAATGATGTGGGAAACATCATCCAGCAAATGCTGCAAGCTTTCCTTATAATATTGACTATATTAGACAATGGTCTTGTATAGAATTTGCCAGGTCCTGTGATTTCAACCGAATGCGAAGCCTTAACGATTTTTAATTTTTCTGCTACTTGATTTTTTGAGTGTTCGGATATATTAGGTGGGTGCAAAAGTTCGTTCGCCAGTTTTTCAAAAAATCGTAACTTTCTTCCAACTCAATGAATCTCTTCGATGTTATATTCATTTAGAAGAGAAAACTTTTCCCTTTACAGCTGTACCTTTGCCATGAATTGGCATGAGAAAGTTCGAAAGTTAAAGGCAGTGTCCGGGCAAAAACTCGATTTTGAGATTTTGTGCTTATACGGGCTTATTCGCCATGCTGAATCCGAAAATCCACATTGGAAAGCGCGAAAACGGCAAAAAAGGGCTTTAATATAGGAGGGAAATCAGCAGGTGGGCGGGGCTTTCCCCAGTACGATTTCACGCTCCCAGCTCCCGGAGCGATTTTCTCGATTCCGCTAGCCGTTCTAACATCGCTACCGGCCAAGTGCGAATGATTGACTTGAAACCGGAAGCGGGAAGGTCGCTCCAGAAGCCGGGGACATGAATTCGCAGTGGGGAGGACCCCGCCCACCTGCTCATTTCCCTCCTGTGTTAGAGCCTTTTTTCGCAATTTTCGCGCTCTACAATGTGCATTTTTAGATTCAGCGTAGCGAATAGGCCTAAGTAAGCACAAAATCTCAAAATCGAGTTTTTGCCCGGACACTGCCTTTAAAAGCAATTGAAGAAAAGTACTCAAGATTGACATTTTTCAAGCAGGGTCTCGAAAAATTCTGAAAATATTTTTGTATGATAGAGAAAATTATGCTCTTTACAATAGTGCCTTTCCCATGAGTTAAAACGAAAAAGATCGAGAGTTAGAAGCAAATAAAGGAAATTACTTCAGTTTTGCGTTTTTGAGCATGCTCAAAAAAGCCTAAAAACATCACAGGAAGGGCGGAAAAGTCATAAACGTGGGTTTTGTAACCTTCTCTTTCTAGCTGAGCGAGTTTCGAGCTGATCGAAAGCGATTTTGATTTTCGTAATTTTTTCGGATTTTCGGGTGTGCGTTTTTCACGAAAAACAAAATTGCTCGCGATTAGCACGAAACTCACTCAGCTAGAAAGAGAAGGTTACAAAACCCATGTTTATGACTTTTCCGCCCTTTCTGTGATGTTTTTAGGCTTTTTTGAGAATGCTCAAAAATTGCAAAACTGAAGTAATTTCCTTTATTTGCTTCTAACTCTCGATCTTTTTCGTTTTAATTCATGTAAAAGGCACTATTGTGAAGAGCACAATTTTCTCTATCAAATAAAAATACTTCCAGAATTTTTCGAGACCCTGCTTGAAAAATGCCAACCTTGAGTACTTTCCTTCAGTTGCTTTCAACTTTCGAACTTTTTCATGCCAATTCATGGCAAAGGCACTGCTGTAAAGAGAAAGGTTTTTTCTTCTAAACGAGTATAAGATCAAAGAGAGTCATTGAGTTGGAAGGAAGTTACGATTTTTTGAAAAACTGGCGAACGAACTTTTGCACCCACCTAATATATTTGCACAAATGATGGGACTTTAAACTACTGGTCAGAAGTATCTTACTGCGATATAGTGCGATCCTTTTCAAAGCTTCGGATTAGCGCACTACATGAATTGAATTGAGATGAAGCAAGGCTAGGTTTTACAATGTATGCCTTTGTTTCGTACAATTTCTAGCTTACCTAAGTACTCGCGTATCGCTTATTCCAAATAGCATGGTGATTAGGCAAAGGAAGAACTCAAAATAAAATAAATTGATCAATAAATCAATTAACACCCGGGATTGTGTCGGCACCTACGAAAAGTTTGAATTTCATGCGAATACTCTAAATTCATTGATGTCTCACATTTTTGAAGTACTGTATGCTGAAATAATTTTTTTTTTCAAATTATAAATTATTTTCTTTATTTTCCATTTTTTGTGCTGTATGTCCAGTACGTTATTGCCTAGTTTTTTTTCTTGCTTATTGTTTTATTGCACTTGTTCCCCCTACTCACTGTGATGCTTTTCTGTAATAAAAAACAGGATTATGTTTCTTCTTCAATTCAAGCCGCTTTTGCAGCTCTTGAAGATTTGGTATAATGTTTACTCATTACACAAGTCAGTAAAACCTCCTGCATTACTTTCTTCCAAACATTTGGCCGGTAAGAATGAGGCCAAAGGGAAGTTTTTTTATCCACGTAGAATCTTAGAACTAGCAGTTTTTTTTTTGAAGTCAGTCTTCGCTATGCAGGCTTTTTTAAAGTCAGCCTTCGCTATGCAGACCCATTTTTTGCAAATTGAATTTAAAGTATAAAAAGTAAAAAGTTGTTGCAACAGCCAGTGATCAAAGACGAAGAACATTTACAGGTATAGATTACTTTTCGTTTTGAGGGAGTCAATCCGAATTGGGAGCACCCCCTCCTGAGAAGGCGTTACGGTGCAAGCGAGTTGAGATGAGAAAATCAGGAACCAAGTGTACAGTGATGACATATCAAGCTTTTTCAGGTCACGTTACGGCTTATTTTGGTGAGCGGCCGAACGCATGAGTTCCAGTTTCATCCGCTAACACCAGCACATGAAGTCACCCAAAAAGTCTTCGAACAATGGCCTAAAGGTGAGTCCTGTTGTCAGTTTCTCCTTTTTGCTACATCTCATTGATTTACATTCATCAATGCTTCATATCTGGTTGGGTGCATATTCGTATAGCCGTGAACTTTGTTGCCCGGCTATTGTTTGCAAAGCAGAAGCAAAGCGCATTTCTTCTGAAAAGCTTTCTTTAAGTGGTGCTGTTTTACAGCGTGAAATGTCGTGCTAGCGCTAAATGAGTGCTGTTTTGTGAAGATTATATGCTAGTGTAAACAGAACGTATATATTACGTACTAACACGTGGTAGCGCCACTCAACCGATGCTTACACAGGGCTTAGCTGGCATTATAGTGTGTCTTGCCGGCTAATTTTGTCTATGGTCGCGCGGTGAAAAGCCGCTTGAATAAAACGTTGTGAATGCTGTTATGAAGTATGTAATTATAGTTCTTCAGACGAGAAATCCGGCGCTATAACCCTATTTAACACAGAAACTGCTTTGAAACTTCCATAAACGTAGCTTGCCCGGTGTGGTTATATGAACTGCGCATACCTCTTTATACAGAGTGTCCCAAAAAAATTTGCTTACTTTCTTTATAAGTCTCTTATGAATATTTCGAAAAGCTTTGGGTATCATTTTGTAAAGCTGTTTTACTTTAAACCAACGGTATGGAGCAAATTACTGTTCTCTCTTTACTACTGTAGGATTACGGTAGAAACTTGAAGAGGCTTTTGCATCATTGAGGATCATATTTTACCTCTAGAAGAGGACTAAAGAAGCTCAAAACTCTCGCACTAGGTTACTCAGGGACGCTGATTCTTAATATGAAACTCTTACTTCACCTTATCGCTTTTTTCATGATTTATGCCAGATATAACGTGATGACGAATCTATGATATTCGTCGAAAATTTGATTAGGCCATTTAAAAAGCTCTGCGAACACACAAAAAGGGGTGCGTAGCAAGTGGTACCCGGGCAGCCGACTGCTGCCGCAGTCAGCCATTAGAACTGCCGGTAAAGCCGCTGCAGATGTTACAGTAATTACGCTCGTCGTCTAGAACTCTTGCCGAAAGGTTTTCTCGCACATCGTCGCTCTAAGGTGCGAAATCAGCCTCAGGAATGCGTGATATCCTCGATATCTATATCATTTTGAACAGAAAATTCATGTTTTTGAGAAACATGCAAATAAACAAAGGCAAACAGGAGAGAGGTTTTTTTAAGGAAAGATAACAAATTCAAATCACTCTAAAAAACTTAAAGTTAGCAGAAGCTGAAAAGTTCAGAAATGTCTCAAATTTCTAGAGATTTTTTCCTCGCTCTTACAGAACGTTGAGAACATTGGGAAGTATGTACTATTTCAATATTTACACAGTTCACTTCTCCAGGATTTTGAAAAAAAAAAATTTATTATTTGATGTTTCTCAAAAAATGAATTTTCTGCTGTTCAAAATGATATAGATATCGAGGATATCACGCTTTCATGAGGCTGATATCGCACCTCAGAGCGACGTGGTGCGAGAAAACCTCTCGGCAAGAATTTCAGACGACGAGCGTAATTACTGTACCATCTGCAGCGACTTTGCCGGCAGCTCTAACGGCTGACTGCGGCAGCAGTCGGCTGCCCGGGTACCACTTGCACGCCTCCCCACAAAAAGTTATGTACTGAAATCAGCATGCATAAAAAACCTTGTTACACAAACTCTCAGATTTTTCGAAAAATTTTTTTCTGCGAACGGTCTATTTCATAGTGGAGCCATATGCTGCTAGTCCCTACCGTAATATTACAGTTTCGAAGGGAGATCGTTAATTTGCTCTATACTGTAAATCTCAGTCGAAGCCAACTCCACAAAATGTTACCTAAGCCTTCCTGAATGAATTCATGAGCTATTAACAATCAAACAGTAGGCACATTTTTTGGGACACCCTGTACGCACCCTAACAGTGATGAAAAGGAAACAAAGTGCAAATATTTTTGCTTGTCTTTACCGGTAAAAAAATCCGATTTGAATACGGTTTTTTTCGATTCTATCAGTAGTGAGAGAAGGCCGTCAAAATTTGATTTTATCCCTTTTCAAATGACTCGTGTGAGAAAAGCCAAAACATTGAAGAAGGAGGAGAACTTGTACTATCGTGAAGTTCTTTGGCTCTACAATCTCTTAAAATCTCAGAAATCGCAAAATAAATGGTTGATTTGAATTTTTAAGATGAATTTGGTCTGATGCACTTTATCTAACGTACAAACTCTCACATAACTTTTGTTCTGGAAAATGTCGGAAAGTTTATCTAACATTCTGGAAATCTAATTATATCAGTATTTTGCAGAGGATACGTATGGCAAGTTTTTCGAATAGATTTGAAATTGGTGAAGTGATTCTGCAATTATTATCGTCAAGGATCTGTAGAGCAAGGCTACGGTTCTTGAAGATTGATTAACTCTGAGTCCCACGCAAAGTTTTGCCTTAGGTTGCAAATGCAGTTCATTTAGCCCTCTTAAAATTAGAAAGTATATTTTTCAAAGCAAACTGGAAGATTCTTGCAGCTTGATGTTTTGGCAAAAACAGTTTTTTTATTTTGAGGGGCATTGTTGCTCAATAGAAGTTTTTCTTTATTTTTGCGCACGACATGAATACCTTTTCTCAAAAATTTCAGGCATGTAATGAAACACTTGACACAGTCATGGGCGTTGTTGCGTCAAAGCATTGGCAGCAAAGCTTTTTTCAAATTTCCTTCAGCAAACAAGTGACGCAAGACACTTCAAAAAGTCTCTTGCGCTTTGAGTTTCACGCTATTCATTTTCTCTTGACACGATATAGGGTTTCTTCGTAAAATTTCTATTTGCTGACGAAGAGTGCATCATTTTCTCCTTTCACTGATTCAGTGGCACTTGAATGAATGAGTGGGGTAGTAGTATTTGTTTGAGCGCAACTTTTATCGAAGAAACAACTCTGTGCGGAGGAGTGTAAGAATCCAAATTCCTCGGAACTTGGATCTTTGGTTTTTAGGAGTAACGAAATCAACAGCCATCAGTAATTTTAACCACACTGACGAGCGCTTGACATATAGCGTCAAAAAATGACCACCACTCTGAATTTAGTAAAATGACGACTGTTTTGGAACAAATTCACTTCAGGAGTCTTTCCTTTGCGCTGGAGCTAGAAATAGCCTCTATCTTTTGTCATTCTCATAGTACTGTAGGTGTACTTTAGATGGCAGTATGCGTAGTTTTATCTGGAAGTCGACTGATCCCAGGCCTCAATCCCAAAGACACACAACTTAGAATTTGCAAGGTCGTTAAGGGTAAATAAAGGTACAGTGGCGCAGTGCCTCTGGTCGAAAAAACCATTATTAGAACTGTTCGGTAAATTTATAGCAAAATTTGCCCTTACAATATTTTTTGAACACTTCGACGGGGAGGCAAAAGTTAATAGAGCAACAAGATAAACAACAGCAGAGTAAATCAGAGTTTGTAACCAATTTCCATAAAGGTTGCTGTTATGTAGCGTAGTGATCCTCACTAACTAACGTAACGCAAATGTCCATGACTTTTTAATCAAGAATATTCCAGTGGTTTAGATAGTCGATAAAAAATACTCAAGCTCTGTACTTTTCAAGGTAAACATCGTGAAATACCAGTCGTATCTGGAAGTCTGGCCAAACTGGCTAGAAATCGGAGAAAAAGCGCGGGATTTTTGGATTTGAAAATTTCGCATCTGCTCAAAATATGCCTTGGAGAACGAAATTTTAGTCGCTTTCTGGCAGCGCAATCAAAGCACAAAATAAATAGGAGAATGAATCTTTCGGCCCGCCACACTCCACGTAGGCCATATCCGCGTTCTTTCGCGAACGGTAAATGCAGCGATTCTCAAATATGGAATAGTTGAAAATACGCATTAGGAAGACAGCTCCAATTCACAGAGTATCATAGCTAGACTCGTGCATTGACGTTTTTATATCACTTCTGCTATTTTCCCTTAACGGGTTATCGGACCCACCCTGTTCTGTGACAGTACATCGGACATTATCATAACCACTTATCGTTAGTTTTTCGCACCGTTCCAGTGACATTCGCTTTTTGACTTTTGCGATAGGCATTTGAATGAGGTGCGGAAAAGAAGACATAGATCAAGGCGTTGTGTGCTTTCAAGCAAGTCTTCGGCTTTGACACGATGCAGTTCTTTTTTCGACTCGATGACAATCCATTCCATTGTTCCAGAATGGGCTGACGAAAAAGTGGAATCGGCGTCGATGCTAAAACTGATCTATCATGGAAGATTTTTGCATGGCTCCGTCACATTGAATGCATTGAATCTACCGCAAGGCAAAACGACAGTGATGCATTTGGTGACGAGAGAAAATCTTCCGGAACCGAATTCCAGTGGTGGGTCAAGCTAACGGTTTAGAACTGAATTATCTTTCTACTGGGTTGGTCCTCAACTCTTTCAAATATTTTTATACCTCAATGGGATTTGCTGGAATCTTATACTGTGTCCGAATGCAGAAATCATGCTCTTTATAGCAATACCTTTGTGAAAATGCGAGTTAGAAGCGAATTTTGGAAATCAGTGAAAGTTGCATTTCTAAAAGATCATTCGAGAAGGGACCTCTGAATAGAAGTAGATTTTTTTATGTGCACCAGTTATGATAAGTCATAGGTTTCATCTTATTAAAATACACCAAATTTGTTTTATTTTGCCATCGAAAATGTTGATCTTGCCTTCTCATCTGCCTTTGAGTCACACCTTTTTTCATACGAATCCACATCAGAGATTAAACGGCACGATTCCTGCTTCCAGACAAAAATTGTGATTTTCTATTTGAAAGAATGGTGAGATTGAATTTTTGGACCAACCTAGTGTATCAAAGGCAATGTCCGCATGCTGTAATATATTTTTTTGTAAATCTCCAGCTAATGTCGACTTGACCGACTACAAATTGAATTCAGATTCGCTGTCAAAACGGAAGCGTGGCAGCTGTTGTCGATGTGTGTTGTCGTAGTGGAAGTTCTTGCCATACGGCTTGCATGTCTTTTATGTGTTCAATCTCAAATGCACATGGGTCATTTTGATTGATGAAGATCATTATGTACAAATATAGTATTACAAAGTGTTATAGTCTCTGTGGAAAACATGCTAGAATGAAGCAAAATTCAAGAGAACCTTTCTGCATACGAGTAATACAGTAAGAAGCATAGTATGCAGCATGAAACCAATTTGATAGTTATGAACTTTCCAAATTAGTGTAAATGTTTTTATGTGTTTTTATTCTGTGATATATATGCGTGAGATTATTGCATCCATAGAGCTCTTGAACAGCTAAGTGTGCTGTTATGTATTCATTTCAACTTCTGAGTGGTGATTTTGTTTATATGTATTTTTAAAATTCAGCTCACCTCACTTTTCTCATTTTGTTATGTTTTTCTTCGATGTTTTGATTCGTGTTCCTAATATTCCAATGCACTTGTCAGTCACCTATAGGGTTCAACAAAATATTCTTGCAATTCTTTTTTTTTGTTCCATTCGTCCACACTAAAAGCATTGTTATTGTGATAATACTACATCGAGTTATGAAGTGAAGCATTTCTCCGCTTACTCTTCTTTTGTATTTACCCTTTTGCATTTGAAACGAGAAGAAAACAATAACTTCGTTCTTAGCCAAATTACTAAAATTTTCAACAGGTATCGTACTTGGCGGAGAATAGCAGCACGAAAAAAAGATATTCTGGCAGCTTTCATTTCTTTTTTCTGGTCGCTTGTGTATATGAACATCAACATGTGTATTTGATCAGTCTAGGCCCAGACAGAACACCACGTGAACCTTTCATTCTCATGTTTATTTTGTGAGTAGATGTGATATTAAACTTTTCATCGATAGTGTTACTCGTGTTGAAAGTGGTTAGTTCTCTTTGCTGAGTTCAAACAGAAAATTGTTTCTTGTACGTAGGTGTTTCTTAGGTGGGAATAACGAGATCAGTATTGTCAAGTCTTCCCAAGAAGGGATTAGCGTAAAGTGGATTTTCAAGGCAGCACATTTCTATCACTCATTGTCGGAAATTTGATGGTCATTATACAGTCTGTCCCAGTGGGAGCAGGGGAACTTTGGCCGGATCGCGCAGCGCAACGCTAGATGTTTCATTGCCGGAAAGATTGAAGAGAATGAAAAAATACAGGCAGGTTCCAGCACGACCACTTGCGACAAATCGTAGAGGTAATGTACCCATAGTGATGCGGACGCCCATCATATTACCCGATCCGACTGGGATAGTCTGTACTTTCCTTGCGCGCTGCCATCTCCGCGCGTAAAGAATTCACATTGACGGAAATCTTGAAAACTTGCGCTTGAAGGCATTTTTGCAGGATCTTCAAAGGCGCGCCTTCTCTTCGCGCTTTATTAATTTACCAGTGCCTGGCTCTACTATCTATGTGCCTTACTCATTCTCGTAAAATCGTGGCACTGGAACTCACCGCGCTATGCCGACTACCACGAATAGAATGTAAACTACCACTCATTTAGAAAGTTTTTTCACGTGAAATCGGTGATTTCGCGTGGATGAAACTTTTCTCAGGAAGACAAACGCAAATTTGAATAGGCTTTCGGATTTGTCATGGCTTGGTAGTCGCCATAGAGGTAATAGTAACCGTGAGCTATATCTCTGTACGAAAATCTTCTCAAACGCTTAGCTAGAATCTTGGCAAATTGACCATTTACACAACCAATTTTTTTTGGCGCCGTTTTCGTTATGTAGTTAACTTTCGACCACTTTTCGGGCTAAGCTCTATCGCTTGCATATTTGCTTACCAAACTCATCCACGACTCCGCAAAAAGTAATGACACGGACCGAATTTTGCGGTACAGAAACCAGGTGGACCCGTTTGGCGCGCAGTTTCTGAGGGATCCACTCAACGAATCTACTCGTGCTTTTGCATGTTGGACTTTCATGAAGATAGCATGCACTATACAAAATTTGGGCTTAGAACGCTGGCGGGAACACGCTCCACGAATTTCGTAACAGACACACACACACAGACACAGAAAGTCACGTAAACATCCTTAGCCCGTTATTATAAGTTATGATATTACTATTAATATTTATTTAATATTATTTTATTTATTATCTATATATATATATAAAACTCAATGTCTGTGAGGATGTTCGTTTAGTTGTTCGTTCGTTATAGAAACGCACGCCACTGAACCGATCCGGCTGAAACTTCGCATACGTATATTTTCGACCCCGGCGGTGGTTTAGAGCTACTTTCCGCGGCGATTCGCCGGGCCATTCTATCGATTTATTGATTTGTTTACTCAAACCTAAGAAAATGAAGGGTCATCATGGCAACCGATCATTTTTACATAGCATGTAAGCAGGGGCGGTAAAGTCCATTTCAGCCTTAAAGTTGGTAGGGTGCGGCAATTAGTCTGAAAGCGCTTTATGCGCATGTTAGAAGAAATCTAGAGGCGTAAGTTTACAAGTTCTGTTGGCTTAAACTTGAAGTCTCGGGTGAGACCGGGGCCACAGCTAGTTATTAATATTTACTTATTTGATACGCTCATAGGCGCGCCATTTGTTAGTGAACAGCAACATACAACGTCGATGAAGTTAGTATGACATCAAGAAGACAAAAAAAACCGGAAATTAAAAACATAAAAAGGTTTGATAATCTCGGAATGAAAAAAAATGCGGCGATGGAGAATTTCGATCAGCGCAAGTCGAAGAACAAGACTCGATGAATCGTTGTCGCCAAATTAACAACAGAGCTGGCAAGAATCAATGGTAGAAGGGAACGACCAGAAGACTCAACACAAACATCAGCTATATGCAAATGTTCCAGTACACTAATGAGGCCTAATTTCTTACGAAAAGAGGATGCGTTTTTACTAGAAATAATTTCCTTAGGTAAAAGGCTTAACCATCTTGTGGTTCGGCAGAAATATGAATTGAAGGTTTGCAAAAAGCATTTTTTACCTAGCTTCCTGTAATGCAAATTAAACCCACCTGTACGCTCTCCACTAGGCCTAAAGATCCAGTATTTACTGGCTCGTAATTTCGTTTCTAATTTAAGGATACGAAAACAGAACACTAAGTCGCTAACAACACGTCTATACCAAACTACGCAGCTTTAAAACTGCAAGTCGAGCACCGTAGGACGGTAATGTGCGGGGGTATTGAGGGTCAGGGAAACATCTGTAAAAAACTATCCTTGTGAAAATTTTTTGAGTTTTTTCGAGCTTCACCACATGCTTTTTTTAAATAAGAACTCCATACAGGTGAAGCATAATCTAAATGAGGCAAGACAATGTTTTGTATAAAGGCACGAAAAGTCCAGGTTCATTACCGTGGATGCTGCGTAGAAGCATAAACAGTGCTGCAGCGACTTGGTGACGACTGAATCATAGCGTGCAGTAAAAGTGAGAGCATCATCAACAAAAACGCTCAAATCTTTCACGACGCTGCGATACTCAAGCTCAGTACCACCGCAGATAAATGACTTGAGGTGAGTACTGGTGTCGCCTAAGTGCATGACAAAGCATTTTGAAAGATTCAAGGGCAGATTCCATATCTCAGACCATACCCGTATATACGCTTGCTATGGAAAAGAGGAAAGGGAGGAATACGCTATATACGCTTTAACATGAATTATTTCTCTTCGTACAATCGCTTTGTTTTTTCGGGTATGCAAGTCTTTTGTAAATAAGGACCAGAAGAGGAGAAAAAGAGAAGTGAGAAACAGAAACAGAGAAACACTGTGAGAAACACGTAATAATGCAAGCAGACTAACCGTCTAAAATCGCCTTTTCAAAGGCAATGGCTCGGGAAAATTGCAAATGCTAGCTTTCCACATCTACATGGCCTTCTGGATGCGTGGAGTCCAGTGCTGTGCTTGAAATGTCAAAAAAGTGCTTTTTACGGCGTTTTTACTCCCTGGAGACAGCTGGAGGGGATGGGCAAGGGATTCCCACCAATATCGCAAGTGTCTGCCTGAGCCAATCAGCCAATTACTGCCAAGACGGATGGAGTTACAGTCTCCTGCAGCCAATCGCTGTTTAGTGCTTGAATTCCTCGCATTCCCTCCAGCTATCTCCACTGTAGGAAAACACCGTAGAAAATATTTTTTTGACTTTTCAAGCACAGCGCTGGATTCAGCGCATCCAGAAGGCCATGTAGGTGCTGGAATCTCGCAGTCCCAATTTTCCCGAGCCACTGCCTTTGAGACTTTGAGAGATCATGCTCCCTACATCATGTTCCCTTCACCTTCGCCACGTACTTTTAGCGTACTTCTCTTCACAAACTAGGAATCTTCTAAAAGCGGGCGACGAGATGAATGTGATGAGTGGATAATGGTTTTCTTAGCAACAAATTTTTATCTAAAAAAACCTCTTGATTCCAGAAAAATACGACCATTTTCACCCGACAGAAAATTCCTCTTTTTGTTACCAATATATTTTTCGAAAGCGTATGCGACTACACTCCGATATGCCTTCCTCGTCTCCATACTCTCTTTCTGAATGTCATAATCATTTTTATTTTAAAGTGATGCAAATCAAGCCATGTTATCGACTAACAGTGCCTGTTACCCATACAAAATATTACTCTTAGCGGGTTAAAATATTACTCTTGCAACATAACAAATACCGAATCTTACTTGATGAATGGTGATTGAATTGTTCAATCTACTGAAGTTTTCGGCCACGTAATCAAAGAGACGCGCTTTTTACCCAATTTATACACAAACGAGATCGGCTAGGTGTCCATGCATTGCAGACCACCGAACTCTGCCTAGCCGGGCACTTGGTGCATCGCTTAAGCGTCGGTGTCTGACTGGATTACGACTTGTACGGGAACTCCCATTCGAAAGGGAGATTACCGCTCTAGTTAAATGCTGGATCTATCCATGCAGGACCCGGCTTCAATGTCGCGTTGCCCAGATTCAACCGCCTAACATAATAATTTCGCTTGGCCTACTGCTTGCTGAACAAACTGCCTACTCTCTTTCTGAGGCTAGAATCTCCTGTGAAGTTGAAAGCAAAAGTTAAATACTTGGATATCCTTCAGATATTGGCAATGATGACACTGTGTGGTTTTTATCTTATTCCACTCTCCTCTTTCCCGTATGTAACGGTTCTTCTCTGGCTTGCTGCATTCGGAACTGTATCCCGAGCTTTCCCTAGGGTTTATGCCCACTTGAGAACTTAGCTCAATATCCATTTGAAGTAACCACTCTTTGCTTCGTGACGGTTGCTTGGTTTGTCTTGTTCTTCTTGGGTATCAGCCGGAACAACAGCAATTGAATTCTCAGGCAAGCTGCAAAGCGCATCATGCTATGTGGCCGGAGGGTATGTGGTTGTTTGAAGCAACAAATGTTTTTGTTCACTCGAAGGCCAATTACCATAGCATACGCTACTCTACGGCATACGCTACGCAACGGCTACGCTCACCTCACAGTCTTATCGAGAATCACTGGGAAATTTGGTAGTTCTGGATTCTTTGTTCTCTTGCTGTGAATGCTTTACTAGCATATTTCAAATTTCGCAGTTGCCTAATTGTTAGATACCAGAGCTCCGCAAGGTGCAAATGAATAAGCAGATGAATAATCTACGGAACGATTCCTTGAAGGATTACAGCGGTTGTGAAAACAAACGCGAGAAAAACCGCATTTATGGAGAACAAGTCAGCATTGTCTATAAAGCTATCCAACGCACTGAACATTGGATCAATCTGCTTAGTTTCCGACATTAGCAGCTAGCTGGCTTACCCGGCTCCGCCCTGCCCTGTCAAAACACTGAGATAAAACTCTCATCCGTATCATTGTACTTTCCCTGTGCCCACGTCTACATGCCATTTCCCTGTTTCCGCTGTTTTAGAAATCAGCAT